CGCCCGCGCTGCCGCCCGGCGCCCCGGCGCCCGCCGCCCGCCTCAGCAGCAGCGTGCAGCGGCGCCACGAGAAGATGGCCAACCTCAACAACATCATCCACCGCCTCGAGCGGGCCGCCAACCGCGACGAGGGCCTCGAGTGGGAGTTCTGAGCGCCCCGCCGAGCCTATGCACACCCACGTATATATACACATCACATATATATATATATAAACATATATATATATATTTTGTTAAATTCACCGCGCACGGAGAGGCCAAAGGCAACCCGACCTGGTGGACGAGGAGGAGGAAAGGGAGCGCAACCCATGCCTATGGGAACGGGGGTTCGGAGACCCCCACTACCAAGCGCCCCCGAGCTTTGTTTTAAATGTGAAAAACTGGAACAATTTTAGAAAAAAAAAAGAAAAAAGAAACAAAAATATTTATAGACCTCTTTTAGATATTTTAATAAAAGGATACTTTGGAATTTATTAACAGCCTAAGCTGCTTTGATATTAAAGATAGCTATAAAATCAAGATGATGTAGCAGTCGTGTCATTAAATGTACACTGAAGTCTTGTAGTTTGCCACTGGATGAGATTAAAAAAACCTAAACTAAAAAAAAAAGAAAAGCGGAAAAGACTCATTGAACAAAGCCATCACGAAGCACTATTGAGACTGACCAAATCTGACAGACTTTTGAGGAGCGTTTCTCCACGTCCRTCTGCAAGACGCTGCTTTCCTTGGAGCCCAGCCGGAGACTGCACCGTAGTCCACGGAGACTCTAAACRGGAGCCGGAGGCCGCGGGGCGTCTGGGCGTCCTCGTGCCGCGCGTGGCCGCACGCCCGGGTCTCGTGTCCGCCGCAGCCTTCTCGAAGCTGACGGAGCGCGGGCCGCACGAGCTCCCGGCCCCGCTCCGGTGATCCCTGGGGAGCCGGTGCTTTCCTGGCGGCGGGCGCGATGCCGGCCGCTCCGCGATGCCGGCTGCTCCGCGATGCCGGCTGCTCCGCGATGCTGGCCGCTCCGGGCCCCTCGTGCCGTGTTAAAGGGAGAGCGGAGGAGAAGCAGCCCCGGTGCTCCACGCCTCGGGCGACGCTGCTGGGGACGAGCGCTCCAAAACCGCGAAGCCGCCGAGGCCGCGGGCGGGAGCCGCTTCCCACCGCGGTGCCTCCACGTTGGAGCCAGCTTTGGGGCTGAAGCGCTCTTATTTTTAGCCCTGCAGCTTAGGGAAGTGGAAGAGCACCAAGGGAGGAGGAGGAGGAGGAGGAGGAAGGGCATCCCCGCACCTTCTCCTTCGCTCCTTCCCTGGCTGCATGTTGGGAAGCACCAAGACGCGGCAGCCGCCCGCCCCCCCAGGCTATGCATTGACCAGTTTGCCACCGTATGCATTTTTATCAGAAGAGAAGGTATTTTTATATTTTGGTGGTAGCTAAGGAGCGGTTCCAAACGCGAAGGCCACCTGGCTCTGCRGCGCCGCCAGCCGCCCGTCCGCCCGGGCGCGACCTGCAGCGTTAGCGGCCGGGATCCGTCCAGCACTTGGGCCGGTCTCTGGAGCACGGGAACCCCGTCGTGCCGAGCGGAGCGGGACACGGGGGCACTTCTGGGGGGGCTCCCTACTGTACTTAAAAAGTTTCTATGGGATCGATGAACTTTGTTAACCGATTTTGGAAGGAACGAGTTCTGTAAAGAGCCTCGAAATACAGACGTTGGGTAGCGGCGCCTCTCCGGCTCTGTTTTGTCTGCGCATGCTCCGTGCTCAGCCCGCGCCGTCCTGGCCACATCCCTGATGCAAATCCCATGGGAAAACCCACTTGGCATCAYGGGGTCGTGAATGTGCCAGCCCTGGGGCTTGGCTTCTCCTCCACCCCAGAGCATCGGAGCAGGGGCTCAGCCGGCAGCTCCATCGCAGCTCGCTCCAGGTGGGAATTAGGGATCCCCATGGGCTGCCTAGCACTTTAGACCCACTTGTCAGGGAACGTGCTGGGTAATATTTATTTTCTGTGGCTGTGGCGGTGCCCGGAGCCTCCCACCGGGCAGCAGCAGCCCTTGCACTGCCCCGTGTGCAGCCACCAGCAAAGGAAAATACCCGAGTGCGAGGACTGGGATTACTGGGGAGAAAAGCACAATGAACGGCCTGGCCAATAGAATGATTGATAGATTGATTGATAGACAGATAGATAACTTAAAAACTGCTTTTGCCAGTTTCACCCCAGGGCCTGGAAGGGTTAACCCATATCTGTTGTTTCTTTTTTTTTTAATCAGTGGTTTTAACACCAATAAAAACGATTGGGGAAGTAAAGGAGAAGCGGCCGTGCGAGCCGCCCTGCAGGCAAACGTGACGCTCGGTGCCGCGTGTGAATCACCCGTCACCCGGCGTGACGCACGGGTCCCTGTGGCCCGGGCGCACTTCCCGGAGGGAGCGGCTCTGGAGCCGGAGCCGGCCTTGCCGGGAACGTGCGGCCTTGCCGGGAAYGTGCGGCCTCGCCGGGAGCACCCGGCCTCTGCAGGAGCGTGCGGCCGCCACGGGGGTGGCTCCGCCGGCGCTCAGGAAGGGCTGCACTCACAGATACTCTCGTCTCCAACCACATCCTGCTGGAGTGCAGCGATCCCAGCCGGAGCGGCCCACTCCGCGCTCGCCTCCGCCCCGGGCTCTGTGTTCCCCGTCATCCTGCTGTCAGTGCCGGCCCACACAGGGGGGACGTGTCAGTCCCTGTCCCCAAATGTTGCATCCCTGCTGCTCTCCTGGAGCTGGTTCCCAAACTGTGAGCAGCGAGTGTATCCAGGGAGGCCAAGCCGCAGATCCAGGGTGAGGAAGAGGAGGAAGCCGAAGGCGGCACCGTGGACAACCCTGGGATGGCAAAGGGGGAACACGGTGCCCGGGGCTCGGCCACCCCTCAGGGCTGCTGGCCCTGCTGCCTCTCCAGCCACTGCTGCCGCAGCCGCGCCACCTCGGAGCCGTAGCGCTCGTGGAGCCGGGAGAAGGCAGACGGCTCCGTGGTGTTCCCGGCCGGCTCCCCGCCGGACGCCCGGCACCGCGGTGGCACCGGCGGCGGTCTGGGACCGGCCTCAGCCTCACAGCCGCTAGCCCGGTGCGGGGCAGCGCCGCGGGGCAGCGGGTCAGTACCCGGAGCCATGTTCCACACGGCGCAGCCGTTCTCCCTCGGCGCCCGCCGCTCCAGCGCCCGCTCCGGGTCCTGCTCCGGTGCCCGCTCCAGTTCCCGCTCCGGCACCTGCTCCGGTTCCCGTTCCAACACCCGCTCTAGTCCCTGTTCCAGTGCCCGCTCCGGTGCCTGCTCCGGCACCCGCTCCACGTTGCTGCTCCACTGCACGCGGGCCAGCTGCTGCTCCAGCTCGCGCACCACGAGGCGCAGGTAGTCGAAGCTGGCGCGCGACAGCGCCTTCACCCAGGCCTCCATGGCCGCGTGGCTCTCGGCCGCCAGCACGTAGGTGCGGGACTTGGCGCCRCCRAAGCGGATGGCGAAGGCGAACTCGCCGCGCGAGTCGCAGAGCTCCACGGTGCAGCCCTCGAGCACGATGACGCCCACGGGCTCGCGGCTCTCGCGCTCCTCGAAGTAGAAGAGCATGTTGCCCTTGAGCACGAACCAGCGGCGGTGGTAGGCGCCGTGCCGCTCGCCCCGCTTGTAGAGGAAGCCGGCGCTGTCGGCCGGGGAGTCGCACGTGGCGTAGAAGGCCAGGCTGCGCTCGTTGAGCTTCATGGTCCTGCGGCGAGGTGGGCGCTGCCCGCGGTGATGGAGCGGCCGCCTCCGTCCCCCCGGATGAGCGCGGTGTCACCTCGGGTGGACGCCCCCCTGGCACGGGGTGACGTGGCCTCCGGCTCTTGCTCCGGCTCCGGCAGTGCGAGCGTCAGCGGCGCCTCGCGGGTCCCGGTGCCACTTGGGGGGCTGCGATGGCCATGGCTGAGGTGAGTCCTCCCCCGGGGTGTTTTCCGCCCGGGGATCCCTGCTCCGCGCAGCCCCGCAGCTCTCGGCGCTCCTGGAGGACACGGCGGGGGCGAAATGGGGGGGTCACTTTCCCACCCAGCCCTCCGTGACACGAACGCGGCCGCGCGGCGGCTCCGGGGCTCCCGGCGCGGGCAGCGCGATGCGGGCGGGGCCCGGCCCGGAGCACCGCGGTGCTGGGACCGGCACCGGACGGGGCGGACCCTCCGCGGTCTCACCTGGTCTCCCGGGCGGCCTCGCTCCGCTCCGGTTCCGCTCCCGCCCCGATCCGGCCCCGCTGCCGGTCCTGGTCCCGACCCGCTCCCGGCCCGGCTCTCCGGCCGCTGTCGCCGGCGGCTCCGCTCGGCCCGGCCCGGCCCCCGGGCGGGGCCCTGTCCCGGCGCTGCCGCCTCCCGCGCCGCCCATCACCGCGGCCTCGCCCCCGCCGAGCGGCCCTGCCCGCCCCTCTGCCCCGGCCTCGGGGGTCGCTCATCGGGGGAGCCGCAGCCTGGACCCCCCGCCCGGGGCTGCCCCCTCGGGCCCCGCTGCCCTCCTGCCACAGCCGCGTCCCCGCTGTGGTCCCATCCAGGCCAGGGGTGACGTGGGGGCTGCTTCGCGCAGCCTTCGCGCTCCCTCCTCCTCCTCACTCCTGCTGCGCTTTCCCAGCACGGCTCCGGCTCTGCCAATCTCTGCTGGTGACAGTGGGTCCCTTATCACCTGCCGACCTTCTCCCTGGGGCTGCTGGAACGGCCGGAATCCACCACCGCTTTATCCTGCCTCCCTTTCCAAGGCTGCAGGGGGAGGTCTCCGCGCTCTCCCACGCGCCGCTTATCTGGCCGGCTCTGCCCAGGGAGCCTTTTCACACGGATAGATTAGAGGAGCAAAGGCTGGAGGGAGAAGCGGGAGTTTTTATTAGAGCAGCTGTGATAACGGGGAAAAAAATGTGGATGTGGTCCCGGCTCAGGCTTTCTTGGCCAGGACACAGGGCCCTGATGGCCGCTCAAGAAAAGGCTGTTCCTCCTCTGCGTCCTCCTCGGTGCTGGCGTCCCAGCCACTTCCCCACTTTGGAGGCCACTTTGGAAAATTGCTCCTGTTCCTTGGAAACCTTGAGGAAAACCCCCCTGTGCCCGCTGCTTCCTGTTGTGCTCCCTGGCCACAGTCGCRTGCTCTTGCATGGGCTCCAAAACTTCCCCTTGGGAGCAGTGCGGGGTTGCTCTCCCTGCCTCCCCCACCCCAGTGTATCCTTGCAAGCCCAGGTGTGCGGCACGGCCCCGGAACCCATCCCCTCTGGAGCCACCGGCAGCTCTGGGGTCCAGATCCCATCCCCAGCCTCYCTGCCTCAGTTTCCCCAGGCAAGCGCTGTCCTAGCTGTGGGGATGGATCAACCGCCAGATCAACCCCAACCATGGGGAGCTTGTCCAGAAAGCAGGGAAAAAAGGAGGAAAGGGGCCTGCATGGAGAAGAGGCCCCCCCGCTGGTGCTCTGGCTGCGCCAGGCCTCAGCTTCCTGCTTTTCCCAGATGACGGGTGCCTTAGTGGCGCTTACACAGCAGCCGGGGCTCGAGGTGCACGGGGGATCTCTGAGTCACGGGAAGAGCCATCACTTGCGGTCCCTACAGAAGCCTGGTGGGCTCTGGGGGCTGAGGATCTGCATCCCGGGACAGAGGGAGGAGTGTCCGGGAGCGCTGGCCTGGAGCCTCCAGGAGGGCTCGCAAGCTGTGCCCTCAAGTCGCCACCTTGCAAAGGAGTTTTCATGCTCCCAGCGCAGAGACCCCAGTGCTGCGTCCTGGGCTGCCCCGAACTGGAGCAGGGCTGCCCTTTGGGGGTGCAGGAGCAGGGGGTCACTCCCCACGGGGACCCTGGTGGGGCTGTGCAGCCGGGCAGCGCCGCAGGGTGCCGAGGCGTGCGGAAGCATGTGGAAATGTGCGGAAGCGTGTGGGAATGTGCGGAAGTGCGCCAGGAACACGCAGCGCTGCCCCGGCCATGCAGTGTTGCCGGTGCCCAGGAGATGGCAGCTGGAGCCCAGCGATGGCCGGGCAGAGCCACCTCCTCCCCTGGCAGCTTCTGGAGGGGGAACCCAGTGCCCGGTCCCCAGGCCAAGGCCATGGGAGAAGCTGCACCGGGGTTGGGACCTGTCCTGTTGGCACCGGCCCTGGTGGCAGCCGCCTCCTGGACTCCATGGGGACATGGAKCTCAGCCTGGGATGAGCCGGGGGCCAAGGACAGGGCTGAGCACGGGCAGCTGTGTGACGGGCGCTGGCTCCGCGCCGCCTTTCGGTTTCAGTCTTTCCCTGCGACAAGGGGTTGGATGGGGCAGGGATGGGACTGGCGGGACACAGGGAGCGGGGTGAGTGCCCCGATGGGCCTCACTCGCTGGGCAAAGCTGACTGGTGCAAGGGCTGGAGGAAGCCCCAGAGCTGCTCCCAAGCCACTGGCAAAGCAGGAGGATTCGAGGGGCTCCAATGCAGCCCCTCCAGCAGAATGRCACAGGGGAAGTCGGTCTCCCCGTRGCTTCCTGCAGCTTGGTTGGGTGGGCGGCCGCGGCCCTGCCACGTTGCAGCCCCCATGCACCCGTCCTGGCGCCATCGGAGCCCAGGGACCCGTCGGCAGATCCAGCAGGGCCGGGGCCGCACGGAGCAGCTCTGGGTGTCGAGGTGGGAGCCCCAAACTACAAGGGGCAGCGGGACTCCCGTCACCCGCCCGGACCCCCGGACCACCCGGGGCTCCCGCCGAACCAAAGCGCCCCCGGCGGCGGCGGAGCGGGGGACGGGACACACGGACACATCTGGGTGCGCGCGGCGGGGCGGCCGCGCAGATAAGATAAGGGCGGCGCGCGGGCGCGGAGCTGC